ATTGATTATCTACAAAGCATTCCCTTTATACATTACATACATCATAGTGCTGCATGTGTGTTGTGATGTATACAGATTATACAGTTTCTTCACGTATAAAGCTGCAGTTTGTCATGTACAGTTACCCGCTGTGCTGCAGCAGCAAATGTCACCGTTTTATTTAAAAAAAAAAAAAAGTGCGATTTACACAATATCCACCTGGTGGCACAAGGAACAACTGCTTTTTCATTGTTGGGCCAGTGCGAGGGAACGCCTCCCAAATCAAACAACCCGATGAGCAGGCACGTGCACACATAGGGCTCAACCTGTGCAGTGCACATGCCCTTTTTAGTCTTGGATAGAAAGTGCCCTTCCAAAATGATCAAAAGTGCCCCCGCGACGCAGCACACCTTCGGTCCCGCCCTTCAGTAGGCGCGTGACAACACCGCTCTTGAGTACGCGCGCGACAACACAGCTGATCAGTACGCGCGCGATAACACCGTTCTTCAGTACGCGCGCATCCACTCTGCAGATCTGCAGCACCCACTCTGTGTGGAGTTTCCATGTTCTCCCTGCGTTCGCATGAGTTTCCTCCGGGTGCTCTGGTTTCCCCCACAGTCCAAAGACATGTGGTACAGGTCAAATGGGTAGGCTGAATTGTCCGTAGTGTATGAGTGTGTGTGAATGAGTGTGTGGATGTTTCCCAGAGATGGGTTGCAGCTGGAAGGGCATCCGCTGCGTAAAAATGTGTAGGATAAGTTGGTGATTCATTCCGCTGTGGTGGCCCGGATTAATAAAGGGACTAAGCCAACAAGAAAATGATGAATAAAGAAACAGCAGGCAGTAACTTTCAGTTGTCGAGTTTTGTCACATTTAAAAGGTGTGTTTGTGCATGAAACATGCGCATTTAGATGCATGTATGCGTGTGAGAGGTCGGATGAAAGAGCGCTCACTTTACAGCTTTGTCGATGCTGCGAGTGGCTGGGTCTTTCCTTTTTTTTTTTCTTTTGGAGATATTGAATACATATTTATATTAAAATATGAACACAAAGGAAAGACTTAATACTTTATAAATGTCGGATCCACTTTTGTAAGCTCAACAAAATGGTGTCATAGATTTAGATAAAAGACCTGGTGTGTAGGTTCAGTAATTGAACTTTTATGGCAATGAATAGGGTATTTCTATTACCTATAAAGTGAAATAACTTAACATAAATATCGGAGGTTGAGATGCATGTTTTTGAAAGAAATTTCAGATGGCATTTGGGCTTTTTTGCATCTCTCTTTTCCTCTCTCTCTTTCTTTCTTGTGCAATAGGTGAAATGGGTAGGCTAAATTGTCTGTAGTATATGAGTGTGAATAAGTGTGTACGGATTTTTCCCAGTTATGGGTTGCAGCTGGAAGGGCAACCGCTGCTAAAACATTTGCTGGTTAAGTTGGCGGTTCATTCCGCTGCGGTGACCCCTAATTAATAAAGGGACTAAGCCGAAAAGGAAATGAATGAATAAAAGTTTCATCATTTTAATGCTTCCCTGCTGAATGAATATATTGATTTATTTACAGGCTACCCATATAGTTCCTTTTTGTTTCTTACCATTTTTAAAAACCTCTTGTGGTGCACAAAAGCTGACTAAGATGCAGAACACAGTAACTTCCGGCTGTCTTTGAAAAGATCATGTGTCTTTTAATTCTTGTCTTGCTGTCTATTTTTCATCCCCATGGTATGATACTTTTTTTTTCTTCCTTTGATCTCCCACCTCTTCTGTGCTTCTTGTTGCTTTGTGTATCTGTATTGGTTTGAGACTCCACAGCAACTTTAGGAAAATTTTCTTTTGAATTATTTGTTGTTCCTTTTTATCAGTTTTTGCTGAGTTTTATTTATGATATAAGCCTTGATTAGTGTCAGACTAGTCATAGTATTCTGCATCTGTCTTTATTGACAAAAAATAACATTTTCAAAAATAGCCTGCATTACAAAGCAAAGCAAATTGCTTGTGTAAAAATGTTTTTTTTTTTTTTGTAATAATAGTTTAATTATAGTATGGTTATGCAACAATGTCTTCAACAAGTATGTTTACAGTAGGATAGCTACAAATATTATTCATTCATTCATTTTCTTTTCAGCTTAATTCCTTTATTAATCTGGGGTCGCCACAGCAGAATGAACCGCCAACTTATCCAGCACATTTTTATGTAGCGGATGCCCTTCCAGCCGCAACCCACCTCTGGGAATCATCCACACACACTTATTTACACTCATATACGGACAATTTAGTCTACCCAATTCACCTGTACTGCATCTCTTTAGACTGTGGGGGAAACCGGCGCACCCGGAGGAAACCCACACGAACGCAGGGAGAACATGCAAACTCCACACAGAAATGCCAACTGACCCAGCCGAGGCTCAAACCAGCAACCTTCTTGCCATGATTAGTATTAGTCAATTAGAAATGATACAAGTGTTTAAGATCGATTAGCTAACAGATTTATATTGAATGAATTGTGTTCCATACAGTGTCAAAAATGTGTTTTGATTTGTTGTAAACTTTTGAAGTGTTTTATTCTGCAAAATAATTGATGCGCTCTGCTATTTGTGTGCATGGATGTGTAAATTGTGTGTAGTGTTTTGTCAAAATGAGCCTTACTTTCAAAATTGTGCTAAAGCAATGGTAAAAAAAAAAAAAACTGCAAAATGTTTTTCTACTTCGCCTTGTCTATTTTTTTTCATTGTTTCTTTATTTGCCTTGACTGTTTCTTTCATTAACATTCTATTTTGAGTTTTGCTGAATAGCCAAATATCCTTTACTTTTATTCTCTTTTTTTGGGAAAAAAAAAAAAACATGGTTCATAGCACTGGGGTACACTCTCAAAAGAAACGGTTCTATATAGAACCAAAAATGGTTCTATTAAGCGCTTCATATATGGAACCCCAAAAAGGTTCTAAATAGAACCATTTTAAGGGTTCATTAAATAGAACCCCAAATGGTTCTTTCACTCTTAAAATAACCGGTTCTATATAGAACCAAAAATGGTTCTTTCAAACGCTTCATATATGGAACCCCAAAAAGATTAAAAATAGAACCATTTAAGGGTTCATTAAATAGATCCCCAAATGGTTCTTTCAAGCGCTTCATATATGGAACCCCAAAAAGATTAAAAATAGAACCATTTAAGGGTTCATTAAATAGAACCCCAAATGGTTCTTTGAATTCAAGTTACATGGTTCTATTTAGAACCATTTGAGGGTTCTTTATTTATTATTGAATGAAAAAATAAAACCAATGCAGAAAATTCAAATTGTTTAAATTTATTCAATTTACTTCACAAAATAAGTTTTAGATAATATTTAAAATTGCACCTCTGCATACTTTGTATAAGATCTACCTCTAAACATTATACATTTTTACTATTTAATTAGTAAACATAATTAACGGCTTAATGGCATTCAACAATCTAATTGTAATGATTTCACTTTTTATTAAACATTTGTAAGCTTGCTTACTGATTGAACAAATACAAAACTTAACTTTCAAACATCTCTAAAATGATGAAAAATGTATTACAATGCAGATAGAAACAATACACAAACATCTATTAAATAACACTACAATTTCAACAAGTTGACGGTACATGTATGTACTGGTCATGGCAACATCCATTTTTATACATCATTTTCAATAAAAGTTATTAAGAAAGTGCTTAATGGCACACAAAACTTTGCAAAATGATTAAACAAAACACTGAGAACAGCCATTCCACAACCTGTAGCATGTCCATGTTTGCCGGCCTCTCTTATAACGTAAATAGTTTTGTCCATGGGTGGCACAGTGGCTCACTGGTTAGAACTGTCACATCACAGCAAGAAGGTCACTGGTTCGAGTCCTGACTGGGTCAGTTGGTGTTTCTGTGTGAAGTTTGCAAGTTCTCCCAGTGTTTGTGTGGGTTTCCTCTGGGTGCTCCAGTTGCCCCCACAGTCCAAAGGCATGCGTACGGTATTGGTGAATTGGCCATAGTAAGTGAATGTGTGCAGGTGTATGAGAGAGTGTATGGGTGTTTCCCAGTGCTGGGTTGCGGCTGGAAAGTAAAGAGTAATTGCTAATTCATTCTACTGTGGTGCCTCTGATAAATGAGGGAGCAGAAGGATAGTGAGCGAGTGTTGGCCATCGTAATGCTGACACTTCAAGCCTTGACGGAATCAGGGGAGCTGTTAGGATCTTTGGATTTCTGTAAAACAATATTTCAATGCTGAGTACTTCCTTCTTTCCTTCCCTTCTATTGGGCCATTTCTTTTAAAGATGTTTCTGTGTCCTTCACTAAGTCCTTATATGCAGCATCCTAAATTAAAACATTTTGTTTACTTTGTGTAAGTTTCCAAGTGACATATTTTCAGCAATACAAGTACTTTAAAGTCATCAAAAATACAGAAATACAGTGTAGACAGCTGTAATATATTTTCTATTTAATCTGCATTTCATTTGTTACAGAATTTAATGAAATTGACATTTCTGAGTGACCTCAATTTAGTATGAACATTAAATAAAACAATAAAATTAGAATAGGAACAAAACAAAATAATTGTTTATCAAATAACATACATCATATTTGGCATACTTTTATCCAAAGGGACGTAGATTGTGTTTATTCTATACATTTATTAATATGTGAGACCTGGAACACATTTGGCATTGCTAATGCATTGCTTTACCAAATGAGCTTTAAAATGTCATATACACAGATTTTTCATATCTATTTGGCACACAATGTAACAGTGTTTGGTTACTCACAAGCTGTGGCACTCCAAGAAGAAGAAACTGCTCCATTAGTTTTGCAGACCCCTCAATAATCTGTACTCTGGAAAATAGTGTGTTTCATTTGGTTCTTGACTTATTCGTAAACGGTGTCGCATTCTATGTCCATCACAATCTGAGGTAGGAAGACAGCATTTGTAGAGTGTGTAAATATGAATTTAAATCACAGAATTAATCTTGACATAAAATGTATTGAAATGAACTTGCCTTGTGTGAAGTCCCTCAGAGTCCAGTTCACTTCATTTTGATCCCATCATTTGAGCTCACCACTGAAATCCTTTCATTTTTACATTTGTTTTGAAGACATTGCAACAAGGAATCTTGTAGGCAAAATTACACCTTTCAATACATATTTCTTCTCTGCAGGACTTTTTTTAAGCAACGACCTTAATATTCTCACTGTAATAAAACAGCAGTAGTAAGTAATAGAATATTTTTTTGATAAATATATTTTTTCAGTACACAACAACCAAAAAGTCTGAATTATGCATGTTATAAAATACAATACTTTACCAGGTGTGCTTGAAGATGATGTCAAACAATTATGGATGTGACACATGTTTTTCTTTAAGCTGGGATCCTTCTTCTTCAAAGCTACTTGTGTGCAGCAGACCAAATTTGGAAACTTAATATGGGTCCCATGACACTTTTCTGTAATGATAAATACAATCTTGAAGTCTTTTATAATATTTATTTCATTTTACTGACCACAATACAGTTTGTTTGGATTTTAAAACAATGATACCAAGCACAAGTTTTATGAAGCAGTTCAGTTTCCAGGCTGTTTGAAGAAAAATAAAATATACATTAAAATACTTATTTTAAACTTATTTTGCACTATATATATATATATATATATATATATATATATATATATATATATATATATATATATATATATATATGTATGTATATATATAATTTTACAATACATTTAGTCTGCATTTTTGTGTCTTTTATAAATAAGACCTGATCTTTCATCTATGGATTGTTAAAATATGTTTGGCTTTTTAAAGGTTTCAATAATATTCAGGGGCGGACTGGCCATAGGGAGAACTTGCCACCGTGACTGGCCTCCCGCGCGTGCACAGACTCGGGCACGAATCTGCTTGTGTGGGCACGAGCTGTGCACTGCTATCTTGCGGTTTTATGCAGACTAGCGGGAACATCTCAAAAGCGGGCAGTAATGTCCACTACTTTGCAGAGTTTAGCTCAATCACTGATAAAACACACACGAACCAAGCTAAAAGTGAGCGTTTGTTCAAGGTTGGAGCTAAAAACAACACGAAAAACACAATGAAATCGGCACAAATCTAGTTAATTTTAAAGTAACATGCAAATGCTTCATTCACGCTCTCTCGAAGCTCGCCTTAAAATAACACAGCTGTGTACTGTTATCGGTAATTTAATTAGTAGTACTGACAAACAACTATAGTGATATTGTAACTTATTTCGAATAAAAAGCAGAACAAATTCAACTTAACAGATTTCTGAACCGAAGGGTGACGACCGAGGTCATCGCAAGCACAGTGTTTATCCATATTAACGCTAAAGTCAACCCCATTCAATCTGTATCACCATATAACACGAGGGATTTTCTATCAAATAGAAACCTTACTTCATAATACAAAATATTTCACTATATATATTAAATGTACTAACATACCTGAATGATGAAGCTGAAATAGTGGACTTCTCCTTTCGAAAAATTAACCTTCTCTCGAGGCTCTTCACCACTGGTCCATGACGATGTCCTTGTCAATGACTGACGTCACCAGAGGGCTTTTTTATGATTATTAGTTTCAAATAAATTATTAAACCATAACAACATGTTACTGCACAGTCTAAATAAATTGGTTATTTTATTTATTTCACAAAATAATTTGTCAAAAATGTTAAACACATACTGTACACTGATTAAGTTTTTGACCACAGCATTCATTTTATTAGGTTTTGACTCAAAAAGCTTTGTCTCTCTGTGTTATAACTTATAATTGTTTCATAATCTTTACTAAATAATTATGTTATGATTCAAAAATTATAGAACCGTTTTAATCAAAAAGGTTCTTTGCAGTCAAAGGGTTCTAAATGGAACCATTTTTTGGGTAAAAGGTTCTACTGGCCAAGTATAGAACCCCAAGGTTCAATATAGAACCTCAAGGAACCTTTTTTTTTAAGAGTGTACATCAAGTGTCTTTCTTTCCGCTTGTTAAGTGTGACGTCAAGCAAAGCGGCTTCCGGGTCCAAGCACTCTATTCAACTGAATGGGGAGACTCGTGAAATGGTAATAATAAACGTTTACAAAGCGATTTAATACTTTCGAAAATGACGATCGCAGTATATATGTCCAGGCCTAATTTCTAATGGCCAGAAAGTGATCAATTTTTTTATAAATTGTTAAAATTTTGGTATTTGTGATGCAGCAAGCCCAGAGATTGTTGTGTACACTATGACTTTATATAAAATTAACTTTAATGTGTGATATGAATAAAAAATGATCATAAACGAATAATTTCTCAACCTATATGAGTGGCGGCTTGGACCCGAAAGCAGTATTACATACGTCACCAACACGTCACCACTTAACAAGATTAGAACATCCTCTTTCATGTGAGGTTGGTTGCAGTTGGTGGATTAGACTTTTATTAGAGAAGATCCAAACATGGTAAATTCTAAATAAAACCATAGCAGGCTGTTAACTAAAGAGGTGCTTGTTACATTGTTGTTTCTTATACATGCTAAATCCAATATTTGAGTGTGTAGATTAAAGTGGCACTTGTTACTTCCTTGTTTCTTGTAGGTACTGGGTAAATATGATATTGCGGGCTGTAGATTAAATTGGTGCTTGTTACCTCATTGTTTCTTGTGCTTACTGGGTACATATAACAACCCAGAATGAATAAATGAATGAATGATAGATAGATAGATAGATAGATAGATAGATAGATAGATAGATAGATAGATAGATAGATAGATAGATAGATAGATAGATAGATAGATAGATAGATAGATAGATAGATAGATAGATAGATAGATAGATAGATAGATAGATAGATAGATAGATAGATAGATAGATAGATAGATAGATAGATAGATAGATAGATAGATAGATACTTTGTATGTGTTTTTATACATGTCCATGAAAAGGCAGGACTTGTTGCACTGATTTTCTAGACCAGCTAATAATGTGATGGGTGCTGGTAACTGAGTTGAGGATCTAAATGCAGGTTTATAAAAATAATGGTCAGGCAAGCAATGCTTAACACAGGGGCAAACCCAGAGTCGTGGTCAGTAAACAGGCAGATGGTCAATAGGTAGGCAGCATACAGGAATAAACAATACAACAAAGCAAGGACAAGGCAAGGAAAATGTGTCAATGTCATAAACAGTTAAACAAGACTCAGCAACTGGTGTGCGTGTGTATGTGTGTCTGTGCTGCTTTAAAAGTCCATGTAATCAATTATGAACAGCTTCAGCTGTGTGTGTTAGCAGTCAGCAGGAAAACTGGGACAGGTGGGAGTGTGCGGTGCATGACAGGATTTGTAGTCCGTATGTTGACAGATTTGTAGTACTGAGTAAAAGTAAACGATTCCCAGTGATCTACAAGCCTGGATCGCTGGTGATTGTGACACCTAAAACCCACCAATAGTGTTTTCAAAGCCAATTATTAGAGAAAGTCCATCTCAGTCACTTACTGTATATTTACCTTTGCTCTTTAATTTGAAATTGCTTTTATCTTTTTTGTGGAACTGTGCTAATCCAGACTTGAACCTGAGTGCTCTGCATCACAAAAACAACACTGTACAACTAATAAGCAAGCTCATCACATATATACAGTTGTTTTGTTGTATTTATTTGGTTTTGTGCAAAGAACAGCATGAAAATAATCCTATATTTGTCAGTAATATACACCTGTAAATATCATTAGAGTGAAAAGGAACAAAAGTTATTGTTTTCACACTGCCCCATAGCGTTCATTTTAGCCAGAAACTGCAGTCAAACATACGTTAAAGTAAGTTTTTGTAGATAAATAAAATTGTAGGTTAAAGCACATAGTTCCAATAGACCAGTTTTTCTATAAACAGCAATGTTTTCCGTCTGTAAATTAAAGTAGTGCTTGTTACCCTCTTTTCCAATAGTATCTAGATGCAGCCTTTATGATGCAAGCTGAGATTGCATCACTCAGCGATGCAATGTCAGACACAATGCAATCAAATGGAGCGAGTGAGGTCACTGTAAGGGGTAGGGTTAGGTGAGCCCATTAAAAATCATTGGATGCAGCTCAAATTGCTCTGCACCAAGTCTGAATCTGACCCCTGTGCCCTTGTGTAACAGTGTAAGTTAAAATGGTGTTTGATATCCCTTTATTTCAATATTCCTTTCATATTTCATGTTTTCCTTTGAGGATAATAAACACTTAATACACAAATACACATCAGTGAACATTTATTATACACATGGACCTAACACTTTTGGACAGACACTATAACGGCAGGTTAACTATGTTAATATGCTGCCCACACTATACACAACTTCTTAACCTTTCTGATTTTGACTATAATGTAATGATGTGCACCTTTTGTGAAGCTGCAACGGAACAATAATTATTGTGAAAAGCACAGGTAACTCATATTGTTGTTTAATATTTAAACATATTTACTGTAAATAAAATACACTGTAAAATTTGTGAACTTACTATTTGAATTTACAAAAATAACAGTATTTGCTTGTTCAATCATCAGATCTTGATGCGTCTGATCCTTTTGAAGGGGTTGTGAACACATTTCAGATGCTATTACAAACACGGACAGCTGGATCCACATCGAGAGCGACACACACAGAGTCTATTATCAGTTCAAGCACTCCTGCTCACTTCTGTCATGATGTGTCTGTGAAACGCAAATCACAATTATTGAGCTGCAATGATGGACAATGTTATTTCGCTCAGGATCCATTCGCTTTAAGGTGGAAGAGACATTTATTAGAGGCAATCTAGCCATGTCTAAACTAATAAAATTATCTCATGGTTACGGGGAAGCTTTTTTTCTCCCTGTCTAATGCAATTGAGCCTTTATTCAAACAATGATGTCCAATGCAATTTCAGTGTTTGCTGTGCATGAGCTGCATTAGTGATTCCTGTTGGAATTATTTGTTTATTTATTAAGCTTTGGCATGCAAAACAAACAATCAGAGAATCATAATTTTTAATGTTCAGTTATATTTAGGGACTATTGTGTGCCTGTATTTCTTTTAGAACATGACCAAATACTGAGCCAAAATACAGAACGTGTAAAAGTATGATAACCTTGTCAACAATAATGAAAAATGAAGGTTTTGTGATGATGCTCTTAAAATAAACTACAGCTTGAGATGATAAACAAGAGTTGCTGTACTGAATGTCAGCATGGCTCATTCAGAGACAATTACAGCTTTCATTTTGATAAACATAATGAAGCAGGGCTATTATGGGCTTTCTGTTACTTGAACGTCAACTATAAAAGGTTTAAAACTTTTTAATAATTTTTGGAGCTTTTTGCCAAGACAACATTTTACAATTTTATGTAGCTTACCTTAGTATTACAAAAAAAAAAAAAAAAAATTACAAAAAAGACTTAATGAATAAATTGAATAAAACTTTAGTATAAACAATAGAAAACTTATATTTTAATTGGGAAAGAAGCTTATTTTAATTGAATTTTAAAAGTGTAACTCATTCATTAAGTCAATGCATATAGAACATTATTCATTAAATTACTTGAACATTAAAATGAACATTAAAACTCTTTTAATCCATTTAAGACTAGCAAGTTCATAGTTGCCATTTTCCTTTATAAGTAATTTTCTGTGTTATACATGTTTCATTTCTCAATGACATGCTAGCAAACAACCAAATAAAAGATTTCAAAAAAGAAAAAAAAATTAATTGATTTATTTCCTGCCACATGAAGCCCTCAGCTTCCTACCCCTAATTCCAAGATTCAAAATGGAAGCAAACCCTCCCAAACAAAAGTAGTTTTCATGTTACTAAAAATATTTTTTGTTCACAAATATATATCAACATAATCATAAGGTCTCTAGATTCCTCCAAATAAAACAAGTCTTTCAAGAGATCTATAGTTTTGATTGTATACTTTGTCAAAAGTTCAATCGGCAACTATAGTTACCAGTGAGCAAATGCCTTTTAAATACATAAATCATGGGGTATTAGGGAATAATGTGTTAATAAGTTAATAAATCAAGGTTATTAGTCTTCTTCAATGATTTTTGCTTTTATGATTCCCCATCTAAACATAACCATTTAACTGATATCTTTACTGTAAAGTGGACGTTTTTGATGCACAATTTTATACACAGCAAAATCTCAGAGTAAATTTAACTTTTATAACTGGCCCACTTCTACAAAAAGTTTTAAAAAGAAACAGGGGCAGAGTTAAAGTACTGAGTGAACAGAGAATAATGAACTTCTGCTGTTAAAAAGCAGAATCAGAAAAATGCAGTATCAGATCACTGAAACTCACATTTTTGAAAGCTCTAGGGTGAAGTGCTAGGAGCTGGGTTTTTTTTAGAAAATTAAGAAAAACTAAATACATTTTGTTAACAAAAAAACGTGCGTACGTGTGGACACAACCTTAGGAACCTGAAAACTCTATAAATCTCTCACAATCTCAGCTCATCAGGATCATACAAAATCAGAAGCTTTACCTATTACTAAGCTGTCTGTATGATGGGTCAATCATGAACGATTCGTTCATTTTGAACGAATCTTCAATATGACTCGGGAACTACGAATCCTTTCAGGGAGTGATTTGATTCGTTTATCGGCATGTGTGCACATTTGTGCAGGTATCGTTCATTTCAAGTCTTTTGAGTCGTTCATCGCGAAAAGGCA